TTTTCATATCTCTGGTTGCACACACAGTAGAGTTACACTATTCGTGTCTTCATACATGTACTTAGGGTAATGATGTCCATCTCATTCCACTGTCTTTCCTACCCCCATCTCCTCTCCCTTCCCCTCCCATCCCTTTGTCCTATATAGTGTTCCTCTAATCCTCCCATGCTCTACCCCACAACCCCATCATGAATCAACATCCTTATATCAGAGAAAACATTTCGCATTTGGTTTTTTGGGATTGGATAACTTCACTTATCATCACAATACCTTTATTATTTTTTTAAAGAGAGAGAGAATTTTTTAATATTTATTTTTTAGTTTTTGGTGGACACAGCATCTTTATTTTTTATGTGGTGCTGAGGATCGAATCCAGCACCCTGCACATGCCAGGCGAGCACGCTACCACTTGAGCCACATCCCCAGCCCCCCCTTTATTATTTTTAAAAATTTATTTTTATGTGGTGCTGAGGATTGAACCCAGTGCTTCATACATTCTAGGCGAGCACTCCACCACTAACCCACAAACCCAGCCCTGCAATTGCCTTTTATAACCACAAAAAGAGCCAACAAAATTTTTTATCTGTTATGATTTTTTTGTTGTTGTTTTTGATTCTGGGGATTGAACTCAAGGGCACTCAACCCCTAAGCCACATCCCCAACCCTATTCTGTATTTTATTTAGAGACAGGGTCTCACTGAGCTGCTTAGCTTCTCACTGTTGCTGAGGTTGGCTTTGAACTCGCAATCCTCCTGCCTCAGCCTCCTGAGCTGCTGGAATTACAGACATGTGCTACCACGCAGAGCCAGTTATGAATTTTTTCATGTTGCATTTTATAGAAATTTGAAGGTGGTGGTTGAAGCAAATAAGAATATAAGATTGTTTTCTCTTTTTTTTTCCACATTATAAAATCCTGTGATAGATAGCTGAGGTTGGCATATCAGTTCCATCAAGGATCCAACCTCCTACCTCTCTATGATCAGCCACCCTGAATCCTAGTGTTCTATCTCATGCCCACAAAATAGTTGCTATATTTCCAAACATCACATCCATAGTCCAAGAAAGAGGAAGTGGGGACAATGAAGGGGAAACTTACGTGCCAGTGGTCTACCCTTCTTATTAGGAAAACAATAGACTTCCTAGATTTTATATCAGTATAATAGTGCATATTTTTTTTGTTGCCAGAACTGGGACAGATTGGCTATCACTGGAGGCAAGGATATCTGTAGAGGTGAACGTTTCTAGCTACCATTGCCAGCCCAGGCATGGGATGGCTTCTCTCTCAAAGCCTCCAGAAGAAAACAATCCTCTTAACCCCCTGGTTTCAGATTTCTGGTCTCCTGGACTGTGAAGAAAATGATTCTGCTGTTTTAAGCCACTTGGTTTGTGGTACTTGTTATGGCAGGACTGGGAAACTAGCACAGTAGGGAAAGAGGTGGGAGAGAGTAGAGAGAGTACCATCTCTCTCTAGAGATGCCATCTCGCGGTGCTTACTAGAGATGGCAAGAAGGCCTTCAGGTGAGGCTGCATTATCTCCAAAGGAAAAGGGAAATAAATTCTAATAAAAGAAATAGGTTATTGATATACTGACCCTGGCCAACTTCTGCCTCACTTTCTTTCCTGTGTAAGTAAAGCATGAAAGAGATTGGTATGGTAAGATGGGATGTTTGTTTGAGCCACATGGTTATAAGGGTTGGAGGCTACAGACCACACTTTGGAGAGCAGGTAAGAGTAGACTGAATGAGGCCAGAGAAACAGGACAAGGGGCAGCAGGACATGGAGATGCAAAGGCAGCCCATGAGCACTGCAGCTTGACTGAAAGAGTTATTTGTTCCCAAGAAAGAAAATCCTTTTTATTAAGTCTAGAAAAAGTCAAAGTAGAATGCATAATTTAGGGCTTGATATAAAATTCAATGTAATTTAAAAATACATAATATTTTCAAGTGGCTCAAAAATAAATAAATAAATAAAGTGCAAAGAAAATTACTAACAATAATAAATAAATAAATAAATAGAAATTATCATCCTTCTACCCTATTTCTCATCTGTCAGCTACCAATCAGCCCTCACTGTTGCTGGAAGCTGCTGTTATTAATTTCCTGTGGATCCTTCTGTTGAGAAGAGCAAATGCAAATATACTATAGTCTTCTTCTTCCTGCAGTGTACAAATAAACACATACGATTCATGCACTGTTTCTTTTCCCATTTAACAATGTATCTTGGTGACACTTCCATAATAATGCAAAGAGAGTTTTGGTATTCCTTTTTTGCAGCTGCCAAAATGCATTCTGCTGAATAATTAATTTCCAGTCCTTTGTTCACATGCCATTTCACATGGGTACAAGTAAACCTGTACAAATGAACATTAGAAATAGACTCTCCAGGAACTTTTTATATATTAGGAAAATTGATCTTCTGTGATATGAGTTGTGACAATTTTTCCAAGTTTATTTGTTTCTGAGCTTTACTTTGGTGGGTTTTGCTTGCATTTAAATTAATAATTAAATTTAGCAACATTTTATGGCTTCTAGATTTCTAAGCATAATCAGAAACACAGTCTTCACTCCAAAGTTATAAAGCAATTTCCTCAAGATTTATTTTTACATTACTGGCTTCATTTTTTTATGTTTAGATATTTAGTTCATTTTCAATTTATCCTACTGTAGTTTGAAGTGTGGATCCAGCTTTACTTTTTTTTCCTAGATGACTCTCTATTTGAGCCAAAACCATAAGTATTAATATTAATCCACCTCCCCACTCCCACTGAGATATCAACCAAATTCCTCCTTTAGGATTCTATTCCTTTTTTTTTTTTTTGTACTGGGGATTGAACCCAGGGTGCTTTACCACTGAGTTACATCCCTCACCCTTCTTATTCTTTATTTTGAGACAGGGTCTCACTAAATTGCCCAGGCTGGCCTCAAACTGGAATCCTCCTCTTTCAGTCTCCAGAGTCACTGGGATTACAAGCATGCACCACCATGCCAGGTATGGAACTCTATACCACTGAGCTATCTTCCTCTTTCACACACCATGATCAAATGCTTAAAGTTGTTAATGCTTCATGCTGCAATATCTGATAAGATTAACCCTTCTCCTTTGCTCTTCTCTACCACAATTTCCTGGCTATTCTTATGTAATTTGTCATATTAACTTTAGAATAAATTTTGTCATTTAAGGGGAAAAAAGTATTAACATTTTCAATGAGACCATGTAAAGTAATTTGCATATTTATTTATGAACAATGCTGCTTTGAACATTCATGTATGGTTTTTTGTATGGAGATGTTTTCATTTGCTTGGGTAAAATAACTTGGGAAGGAAATGCTGGACATTTGTTTTATTCTAAAAGTTTTATAGTTATACCTTATATTTAGGTGTGTGATCCACTTTGACTTCTTTCATATGGATGGTGTGACTTAGAGTCCAAAATCATACTTTTACAGATGACATCCAGTTTTGAAAATACTTTTTATTGAAAAACTATTATTCCCCCCCTTTGGATAATTTTTCCCTTTTGCAAAGCCAGTTGAATGATGAAAGTTAGAGTTTACTTCTAGTCTCTGAATTCTGTTACACTAATTTTTATCTTTTTTTATGAAAGTACCATATTGTCTTGATGACTATAGCTTTTCAGTAAGTTTTGAAATTCCAAGTGTGAGTACTCCAATTGTGGTATTCTTCTCAAGACTGATCGGCCATTCTAGGTCCCTTGAATTTCCAAATACATTTTTTTAAGTCAGGTTGTAAGTTTCTTGAATCTTAATAGAGACTGTGGTGAATCCATAGATAAACTTAGGAAGTGCTGACATTTTAACATATTGTCTTCTAATCCATGAACATGGGATGTCTTTCCGTTTATTCAGATTTTTCATTTCTTTCAATAATGTTTTGTAGTTTTCAGTATACAAGTCTTAAATTTCTTGTCAAAATTATTCCTAAATAGTTTAAACTTTTCAATGTCATTACAAATAAAATTTTGTATGATTTCATTTTCAGACTGTTTATTGCTAATATACTGAAATGCAATTAACCTATTTTATTGATCTTATATCCCTCAACCTTGCTGAAATCATTATTGGCTGTAATAGGTCTTTTGTGAATTCCTTGAGATTTTCTATATACAAGATCATAACATTTGCAAACAGAGACAGTTTTACTTCTTCCTTTCTAATATGGATGTCTTATTTATTTATTTATTTATTTTGCTTCATTGCCCCTGGCTAGAACATCTAGTACAATGTTTAATAGAAGTTGTGAGAGTGGGCATCTTTTTACCATTCCTGATGTTAGAGGGAAGGTATGCACTCTTTTACCATTAAGTATGGCATTATCTATAGGTAATTCATAGATTCCCTTTGTCAGTTTGAATAATTATCCTTCTACTCATAATTTGTTAAGTATCTTTACCCTGAGAAGCACTGAATTTTTGCCAAAGTCTCTTTCTGCAACTATGAAAATGACATGTGAATTTTTTTCTATTAATTTGTTGTGTTACATTAGTTGATTTTCAAATAATAAACCTATCTTTGTGTTCATGAGATAAATCCCACTTGGTTATGATGCATAATTCTCTTTATATGCTGATATACTTGGTTTGTTAGTATATTTTAGGATTATTTTTGCCTTTATATTAATAAGAAATACTGATCTATAGTTTTACTGTTGATATGTTTAGATTTGGTATCAGGATAATACTGGCCTCAGAGGATATGAGCTGGGAAGTGTTCTGTCCTCTTCTGCTTTCTGGAACATTTTGATATTTGGATTGGCTGCTGTACTTTTGCTTATTCCTTTATTTTTAATGATTCTGAAATAATTTCTTTTAAAATGTCTCATAAGAATATAGTTAGGCTTTGTTGTATGATACCAAATAACAACTCTTTGTTAATAATTAAATAAAGGTTTAAAACTATTATGAACAAGTTGTGCAACAACATAATTTTGAACATTCAATTGTGGCATGGATTTTCTATATATCATTGTATATATCTGAGATAATTAATTTAAAATGAGAAAAGGTTTATTTTTGGCTCACAATTTCAGAAGGTTGCAGTCCTTGATCAGTTGGTTCCATTATTTTGGGGCCTGTGGTGAGTCAGTATGTCATGATAGGAGCACATGGCAAAGGAAATTGCTCACTTTATGGGCAGCTGGGAAGCAAAGAGAAATAGAAAGAGAGGGGGGTCGGGGTCCCATCCCCTTCAAGGACACACCCCCAATGGCCTTACTTCCCCAAGGTCCCAAATTCTAGAATCCACCACCTCAAAACAGTGAGACTAGCAACCAAGCCTGTAATACAGGCATTTGGGGGGATACTTATCTAAACTATAGCAGTCACATAAAACACTGATTTGGGGAAAGCAGATAAAGATAGGCTCATAATGTTTCATACATACCTTTCTGCCATGAACTAGATTAGGCCACACAAATATAGAAGTGACCCCAGTGGACACTGAGGCTGAAGAATCTTGCATAAAAAGTTGAACCTGCTCCTGCTGTTGAGCTACATAGGAACAAAATAGAGAAAAGGGAAGAGTTGACACATTTACATTTGTGGTAATCCTTCTTTATACCAGAGCATTTCATGTTAAGTATTTTCCCAGTAGTAATCACCATCCCTGTTTTACCGATGAGAGAATTAAGATTCAGATAATTTTCTAACACTCACTAGACCCCCAGCGCCAGTCTTACTTGAGAGCTTGTTAGAATGTAAACCCTCAGGCCTCAGCTTAGGCCTAGTAAATCAGAGTCTGCATTTAACAAGATCCCCAGGTGATTTGTATATGCACTAAAACTTAAGAATCACTAGTCAATTTTCAAAGGCCACAAACATAAATAGCAGAAGCCAACTCCAAAGCCTGTGATCCTTGTTTTACTGCTGTTGCAGGGGCAGATTACTTGATAGTCATAGATTAAACTTGTAGCTATGACTCAGTAGAGGAGTTCACATAAAAACACAGGTCTCAATTTTCTCATCAGTTGCAGAGGTAAATTACCATCACAAAACTTGATTCTGTCTCTTAGAATAAATAAGGATCTTTGAACAGCTAGAATAACAAATTCTAAAGCAATAAAATTTGTTATGTTGAATGCTGTTTGAAATTAAAAAGCCATTGTAAGTCCAAAATCTCTTCTGTATAAAATTTATATTTGTTGCAATGAGATAAAAGCTTCTGAATGATCTGGTAGCTTTGTACACACTGTATGTCCAACCAAGCTTCTATGCCATTCAGACTGGAAAGAGAAAATTCTATTGTGCCAATCACTAAACTTCAATGAGGATAACAAAGGAAAAGTTTTTCATGGGAGGTTAGAGTAACTCTTGGAGAACTGGGCATAGGCCTTTAAATGTGAGTGAAAATTATAACAGATTTAATTCACACTGATTTCAAGTTTAGAACGAAAATTAAATTCTCACAAAATCCAATTGTCCTTCTTTTTACCTCTTGTCTCAGACTATTCTCTGTTGACTTTTATTTTTTACTTGTAACATTTGAGGAAATATTTGCTTAAAAAAAGGTGATGCTCTTTTCATCTAGATCTGGGCTCTGAGATGGGCCAGCTTGTCCTGCTCTGCAGGCTTTAAAGAACATTTAAAAGAATAAAACCATAAAACAACTCAATATTATATCAATAAGATCTCCTAACTTGAGAAGGCTGGATCATCCATCTCAGAGAATGCTGCATACTGTACTTTTCATGCTTCCTCTGGAATTTTAGAACTGAGGACCACTTTAGAATAAGGTTCATAGGTAATTAATGAAGTTCCATTAGTTTAATTGTAAAAATTAGCCCTGATTTTTGTTTATTTAGTTCCTTTAGTAAAACCATAGCTGCTTTTAAAGCTTCAGTTTTATGAGTACACATTGTGCTCATTGATGCTATGGGGTCTTTTGCATCCTTTCCCAGCTGGCAAAGTCTCTACAATGACATCTTAGGGAGAAAGGGGGGAAGAGGGGGGAGAGAAGTATCACTTTTATTTCTATGGAAGTCTAACCCTTTAAATTAGTTCTTGCCCTGGCCTAGGGTACCATTGTGGGGGTAAGGTGAGAAGTGAACAGAGAAGCAGGTAAAGATGATTAACAGGGAAAAAAAAAGTTTAATAGCTCTTAAGCAAAACATCTGGGCAATAATACCATTGTCACTAACTATGCTTTGTACAAGTCCTAATACCTACTTAAGGCTCATCTGTAAAATAGGATTTTGCAGAATTAAACAAGTTAATAAATACAAAGCACACGACACTTAGCAAGCTTGTAACACATGCTACAGGTTTGGTTATTATTGTTATGAGCCAATTTAAGTCCCTCCTGAAAAAGGAAACCTAAAGTTTAAAGGCAAAACAAAAACTGAAAACCCAAATAGAAGAACTTCCTCTTGGAATCTGACTCTCCTATAAGTGTTGAAGCCCCAATCCACTCCTTTCCCTAATAGAGTATAGGCCATCTAGAGAAGGACAAGTCTGACTGTCACAGAGAGGAACTTACCTGAACCAAGGTCAGTGCCCACTATGGGGCAGTTCAGAATATGAAAGGAGCAGCTGTGCGCTCCCCTCCTAGCTTCCTGTTTCACTCTTCTTATCTCTTTCATGGTGACTGGACACTGCAGCCTGGCTTGGCCAGGGCATTGCAGTTGCAGTCTTGTGGAAATGTGGCTAAGGACGTAGGAAAAGAAGCTGGACAATCAATCTCCTGACTACCTCTATCCAAACCCATACATCAAAAGGAGAACCTCTCTCATTCACACTCCAAAACAAGACACAGAGCAGAAGGAGCAAGGAACGGGGAGCTGGAATAGGCTCACATGCTACTGTGAACTCCATCTGCACTCCAACCTGTCAGCCCTGGTTATTCTCTGAATGTGGATCATGTGGCCAGATGTGACTCTTCTAACCCCTCAAGTTAAATATTACAGTCCCTCTTTCACAGAGGAACAGATGTTCATAGAGTCTAACACTCTATCCAACATCACACAGCTAATCAGAGTCAACCCAGAGATTGGAACACAGGTCTGCCTGGCATCTCACAAACTCATCAGAATGCTGTGTTTTTGTATACTGAGTGCTTTCATTTGTGTGAGTTTGGGATTTAGTTTGGTCGGGTGATTTTTGTTTGGTTCTTGTTATCCCCTAAAAACTGTTAACATAAGTCATAGTTATTAAATACAATGCAATTCCTTCTAAAGACTTTGGACAAAATATTTTAACTGACATTAATATTAAATCTTCCCTGGAAAGTCTCCAGATTTCAATAGTTATTTCTTCATTACAGTAAGAAATTTAAAGAATTCAAGGAAGTAGGAGTTCTCACCCTGCTGGGTTCTGTTCTGCCAGTGTCTGGTGTTTCTCTGAAACAGTTGACTAACTTCTCCTTGGGGCATTTATATAGCATGAATCCAAGAATCAAGCAGTCTAGAAATGATCATTAGGCCTTCTCAGGCAGGGCAGCAGGAAAGGCTTTGGGCATCTCCAAGAGTCTGCAGGCAGGACACCCATTTACAGATGTCAGATATCTCTCTGTATGATTTACTTTTTATCTATCCTGGTTCTATGAAATTACAACTTCTTCACCCAACTTGTGCCAAACAGCAGGGAACAAGTTGCCACACCTTTTAAAGGCTCTCAGAATTTCATGTGGTCTAAATGACGAAAACAAAAGATGTAGGTTCAAAGCGAATAGTGTTTGCTTTGTTGAGCAATCTAAAGTGTTTTGACATACAAAATGCCTTCCATCTGCTAAGGACATCAATTTGAGGTTAGTTTTGTGCTTTTTAAACAACATGTTACACTACTATTGTGTTAGTTAGGTTTTTGTCACTGTGACCAAAATACCTACCAAGAACAACTTAGAGGAGCAAAAGTTGATTTGGGCTCATCATTTCAGAAGCACAGTCTATGGTCATCAGATCCCATGTTACCATGTCATTATTGTTACTAAAGCTCTGTAGTATAATTTAAGGTCTGGTATTGGAATGACTCCTGCTTCACTTTTCTAGCTGGGGATTGCTTTGGCTATTCTGGGCCTCTTATTTTTACAAATAATTTTCATGGCTGCTTTTTCCTATTTCTATGAAGAACATCATTAGAATTTTTATAGGAATTATATTAAATCTACATAGCACTTTTGATAGTATGGCCATTTTGACAATATTAATTCTGCCTAACCAAGAACATGGGAGAGCTTTCCATCTTCTAAGGCCTTCTTCAATTTCTTTCTTTAGTGTTCTATAGTTTCATTGTAGAGGTCTTTCACCTCTTTTGTTTTGATTCCCAAATATTTTATTTTTTTTCAAGGCTATTGTGAATGGGATAATTTTCCTAATTTCTCTTTCAGTTGATTCATCACTGATATATTGGAATTCAATTGATTTATGTGTGTTATATTATATCCTGCTACTTTGCTGAATGTATTTATGAGTCCTATAACTTTTCTGGTGGCATTTCAGGGGCTTCTAAATATAGAATCACAATGAAATATTACTCAGTCACAAAGAAGAATGAAATTATGGCATTTTCTGATAAATGGATGGAATTGGAGACTATCATGCTAAGTGAAATAAGCCAATCTCCAAAAACCAAAGGCTGAATGATATGTCTGATATGTGGATGCTGACTTACAACAAGGGGAAGTGATTAGAAGTTCACTGGATTAGACAAAGGGGAATGAAGGGAAGGGAGAGGTAATGGGAGTAGGAAAGACAGTAGAAATAACTGTTCATAAGTTTCCTCTGATCATATATAAATATACAACTAGTGTAACTCCATATCATGTGCAAGTATGTGAATGGAAAGTTATACTCCATGTATGTATAATATATCAAACTATATTCTACTGTCATGTATACCTATAAACAAATAAATATAGAATCATGTCATTGGCAAATAGAAATATTTGAGTTCTTCTTTTCCTATTCATATCCCTTTAATTGCTTTCTTTTGCCTAATTTCTCTGACTGGAGTTTTGAGGGCTATACTGAACAGAAGCGGTAAAAGAGAGCATTTGTCTTGTTCCAGTTTTTAGAGAGAATGCTTTCAATTTTTCTCCATTTCGAATGATGTTGGCCATGGCTTAACATATATAGCTTTCACAATGTTGAGGTACGTTCCCACTAGCCCTAGTTTTTCTAGTGGAGAAGTAACATCAATTTTTAGTCTTCCATCCCATGCAAAAGGCATATCACTCCATTTATTGAAGTTTTCTTTAATTTATGTGAGAAACATTTTGTAGTTTCCATTCTTCTCCTTGTTGTGATTTGAATGATACTAGAGCCACTGCTCTGATTCACCTCTACTCTGTAGTCTCCTCTATGTATCCCTAATGTTGCCTGTCTTCTGACATTCAACCTTCCCTCACAGGAAGGATCTGATGAGGTATGGAGAGTGCCTGTTGGATATCTTCTTCCTTAGGTACTAAATCCTCGTAGCATCCAGACCAAAGTCAAAACCCACAATGCTACAATTTACAAATAATTTCCCATTTTTGTTCAGAAGGAAGAGAGGAAAGAGCCAGAAAGACTAATAGAAGCTAATAGACTAATAAGCTAATAAAACTACTAATAGCAAGACTAATAGAATTATATGCTTGTTGGCACATTTCGGATGATTTAGTTTCCAATCACTTTTAAGAAAAAGACAATGGGGACGGAAAGGACAAGCAACACATTTGAGGTCATATAGGAATTGACAGAGTATTAACCAGGACCCAGGTCCATTTTCCAAATCCACCCATAACACTAGCTCCCACCTGATAAACCAGGAGCATTCAAACATTTTTTTACCACAACTCACAATAAGAAACATATTCTACATTAGAACACAATACACACACACACACACACACACACACACACACCATAGTAAAATAGCTAACATTTATAAAGCTCTTATTATATATATGCTCATATAAGTGTGTGCAAAATAAGTGCCTTATAAATTACAAATTCTCTACATATGTTGGCTCACTTGATTCTCACAACAATCCTATAAGTAGGCACTTTAATCTCCATTTTATAGATAAGTAAACTGAAGCACATAGTAGAAAAGTCAGAATTTGAATACAGCCCATTTGGGTCCAGAATCCATACCCTTAATCGCTTCACATACTGTCCCTCTTATGTGTTACACATGTGGTAACATATTTATATATACATGAATGAGTGTGTGTTGCTTTATAAAATATTCTTACTTTGTGTAATAAACTCTAATATTTTCTGTTTTTCAAAGTGGCCTATAAGCTGTTAAATTGATTTACAGCCTATGTTTTTTAAAATGTTTGGAAAACTTTGCTAACTAACCAGCCAGATTTTCTTTTTTAGAAAAGAAGAAAGCTAACTTCAAAGACAGGTATAAATTGGTCATTAAGTAAAAGGGGAAAAAATCCAAGTTTCTGTCTCATGGTAAGACAGTTATATCTATCACTTGGGGAGAAAATAAAAGGTGGAGAAGTTACTCTTGCATGGTACTAGTGAGTATATATGCCTGCGAGACACACAGGAAGAAACAATTCCATACACCTCGAGCTCACCAGGCAACCGTAGGTATCACATTATTAGTAGCTGTCTGGACTATTTTTAAATCAGCCAGTCCTATCTGCAAGAAATTAACTAAATAAAGCAAAAATTTGTTATATTAGTAAAAAACTTTCTGATGGCTCTTTGGTTCTTACTAAGTGTCAGTATTGTTCGAAGCACTTTACATAGGTTAACTCATTTTCCAAGCCTCACAATCCTAATGGATGGGTGCCATTATATTAATCCCAATTTACAGACTTTTAAGACTTGCCTAAGATCTCACAGGTGGTAAATGTGGACATGGGTGTCAAACCCACAGAATCTGAACCCAGAGGCTGTGTTCTCTTAACTTCCACCCCAGGCTGTCACCCACTCAGTGTGTAAGCCATGGTGCCAGGGACTGTGGGGCAATCTCTGAATCAAAGAAACTGATAAACTTCTATAATAAGTGAATATGTAAGGCTAGGTCTTCTAGACGTATGCTGAGAGCAAGCTCAACTCTCAGTCCAAATCAAGTATTAATTCATCAACAGACACTAACAATGTTTCCCAGGAAAAGTGGATGTTTACCTAATTCCACAGTTATTAAACAACACTTCTCTTTAATGTTTACATATTGTTAAAGTTAATTCTTTATTGAAAATTTAATTTATAATTCATTTCAGTCTGATCTAGCCCCTGATTACAATACGGACTTCCCTGAGTAGATTCCATTGAAATAGATGCTTTTTGGTGTTATGATGTCTATATCATATTCATATTTACCACTACCACTAACATCAGCAGTACAAGCTTCTCTTGCTTAGGTGTGTGTATGTATATCTATGTATGCATATAAATATGTCTGTAAACATATATTTCTGATTATAAATATATATGCAGTACTATATATGTGTATATGTGTGGTGTGTGTATATATATTCCAAAAATCTTACAGGTTTCTTTTTTTTTTAAGGAAAAATTCCTTTATGGTTTCTGGGGTTTTTTTATTTTTTATTTTTTTCTTGTTCTTCTTAGTTATACTTGACAGTAGATTTATTTTGACATATCACGCACACATG